TAATGCACTAAGTAACCTGGAATTTAATTCAAACTAGGCCTGGGCTAAGCAGAAAATAAACAAAAGGGGCTGTGTAGGGTTTCTCAGCATCAGAAGTTGCATATTTGGTGGAAAAGGTTCTCTTGTTAAGGACTGTTGGCCTTGTTAAATTTGTTTTGGTTTATATTTATGTTATCCCACATGTAAGTACATTTTCTAAAATACTGCATGTTCTAACCTCTACCCATAATCACAGAATCAGAGAATGGTTTGGAGGTGACCTTAACCATCACCTAGTTCCAACCCCAATAATCAGATTCATCTGTTCACTGCACCCTTTCTCCTTTTATAGAAGAGTTGGTTGCCAGCAGGCAGAGGGGTTTGTAAAGGGAAGTACAAATACTTGCAAAACCCAGACTTCCTTTGTGACTACCTAAGGACTCAGTTTCGGTGAGAATCAGACTTTCTGTTACCCTTATATGGCAATCCCACAAAAACACGAAAGCAAATCAGGTGAGAAGCTGTGAAGTTACAGCTCCTACAGCAGCCAGTTACAGGCAGAGCTGAACAACACGGATATAAAAGGGCATCGGGGATAGGTTCGGGCTGTACCTTTTAAAGTCAAAGGGATTTTGTGCTGAGGTCACCCTACAGATGATCAGTGGGCTGAGCCTACAACTGGTTTCATCAAATACCATTATTGCAGGATTTCACTGTGACTGCAGATGGCTTGTGAAACTTCATGTGTCCATCAAAACAGGAAACACTGAGCCTAGTGGCATTAAAAGAGGTGAAATGACTTGTGTTCACTAGACCCTGAAACATGGAAAGGGTCTTTTATAATTTAACTCTTTTAACTCAAGTCTGACCTCTTTTGCAAAGGGCAGAGTTCTGCAATATAATGCAATTGAAATGCTGAGTAATAACTGGGAAGTGAAAAGCTTCAGCCGTGTTTCCTTCATGTGACTTACAGCAGCGCTTATCTACACTCCAGCCTGCAAGAGGCTTCAAACTGAACGGTTTATTTTGACCTATAGTCCCAATCTCTCTTTCCCAGGAGGTGAGCATACCCCCAAAACAGCCTGCTGAAAAGTGCCTCCGGTGTGATAGCACCATTTTTGGAGTTCTCAGATGCCTGTGGCTGAGAGGGCTGCAGTTCTGCTCATTGCATGTGTGAGTGCAGCTAATTATAAGCTCTTTGGAGCAGAAATCCTGTCTGTCTGCACAGTCTTTGGCACAGCAGGGTCCCTTTCTCAGCTGGCCTTCAGTGAGAACTCAGTGCGAGGTATGAATCATATCAAAGGTGAATCAGAACGATTCTGAGTCACTGACACCAGAGAGTAACAACTTTAACATATGGATACAAAACTAATGAGCTGCAAAATTTCTCTGTTCCAACTCAAGAGAGGAGAAAAAATAATTTTGAAGAAACTAAAAGATAACTGAGGTACAACAGATGTGCTTGATATAAACACACAGCTGCTCAGCTCATCATTTATATTCTATTTTGTTATCATGAAATAATCATTTTAACTGAAGGAGACTTACCTGAACTGAGAGACCTGAACTGAAATGAGGATTACCTGGAACTAAGATCATCTAAATTTTCTGTGGTCTTGGCAAACTAATAAAACCAAACCTATTCCATTTTATTAAAGTCAAAAGTATATAGCCTTTTAAATAAATAGTTTGGGGCTTAGTGGTTTTGATTTTTTTCACTCTGCAATTAAACACACGTTTAACACCAGTTCACAAAATTAGCCACAATTGCTTAAAGAACCTTCTTGTGTGTTTTTCCTCTTTTTTATACACCAGTGTATTCTTGAATGTCCTTAAAAGGCATCTTAGTGTATTCTCTCTTTCTGACTGGCAGAAACAAAGCACTCGAGACACTTCACCAGCTCTGCTGAGTAGCTGAAAATACACATGAGGAAGTGAGGACTCATTTAAGGAGAGCTGCGAATTGCTGCCCTTTATGCACCAGGTTTCCAGCTTGACTTTTTACACTCTCGGTGCAAAGAACAGGCGTTGAAAAGGTGGTTAGCCTCTGACCTGGAAATTCCTCCGCAGCAGGAGCATAATCTGTGCGATTTAGTGTGAGTGTCTTGGGGCTTTAAGAGCCGGTGACCCTGCAGTTTACAGCCTAATGTCACAGGCAAGTGACAAAACTCCATCCAGGAGCAGCAGGAAGCTCGGGTTAGATTGATGGCAGGGCAAACAAACCCACAGCTCACAGTCAGCTCTGTCACAAACGGCCAAGGCTTGAACAAGAGAATAAACTGGAGGTAAGCCAGGCCAGGTACCTTTCAGTAGCTTTTGACTGATTTTGAGCTCAGTAGCTGGAGAAAAAGGGTCTTGAAACCATCATTTCTTTGTGAAGATGATACTGCTCAATCAGAATTAGCTGGCTGGTTGTCAGTCTCACTGCAAGATCAGTAAGAATAGAATCTAAAGTCTTGCATGTGAAGCAATACATCCACAGAAACAATAACCTTTCAAAATAAAGAAGAAAACAAAACTTGAATGAAAAAAAACTCTTTTTTTTTTTTTTTTTTTATTTTGCATGTTTCTCTTTTCTCCTTGGGCATCAGCTGGAAGTTCATTAACACGGATGGAAACCAAACACACAGTAGACTTTTCCCAGGACCTGCTCATACAAGCTCAGGGAGCAATTTCCACCAAGAACCGAGTTTTGTCCTCACAGTCATACGTGCAGTTAACAGGAAAGGGATGAACTAATTTATTACACAGGTTTTACCTCTAACACACAGTGTGTAAACGGAGGAATCTAAACCCGCTTGGAGCGGTGCTGAAGCCCGCAGTGTGGGGAACTTCCTAAACATGCGATGCCATCGTGTGGGCAAAGACATCTCCAGCAGTTTCCAGAGGAATGTTATTGAATCCTGGAATGTTTTGAGCTGTTTTGAGTTAAAATGGTCACCTCGACCCTGCTACAGGCAGGGACACCTTCCACTAGCCCAGGTTATATTCACATCATATGAACGTGCCATTAATTCCTTAATTTCTACTTGCTATGTCCTGGGCCTGCTGAAGGAGCTGGGTAACTCCTGTGCCTCTGGTGGTGATCAGAGAGAATCTGAAACAGCATCCACCCTGGAATTCTGGTCAATCTGTTTCTGAGCTGGCAACAGGAAGATTATTCTATGGGTTTTTATGAAATTTTGCACATGTGAAGGTTATAAAAACCACCCCACAATTAAAAAATAAAAAAAGTGTGGTTTAACTTTATGAAGATTTTTACTCATTCTTGAAAAAGAGCAAAAGAGTGGGAGCTCTGCCATGGTTAGTGCAGACAGAATGACAGGTTGGGTTGTGTTGGAAAGGACCTTAAAGCTCATCTCATACCAACCCCTGCCATGGGCAAGGACACCTTTCACTAGCTCAGGGTGCTACAAGCGCCATCCAATCTGGTCTTGAAAACTTCCAGGGATGGGACATTAATAACTGCTCTGGGAAACTATTTTTTCCCCCTAAATTCTCTTCTTTTCTACATTTCTGCTTTCTGTTGAAAACACACTGATCAGACTATAACTAAAAGTTAAATGCCAAAGCTGCTAGCCTGTTCCATGGTACCTCGTTGCAGAAACACACTATCAGATTTGTGTGAATTTGCCCATCTCAAAGGAGAAGGAGGCTTCACACTGAGCTCAGGCTGCAAGAAAATCAACCAGTCAGACAAAGCATCGACAAAAATGTGTCACTGCTATGAATATGAAGGCCCCGGTGTGCTGCAGTAACCAAACCCTGTAGCTGAAAGAACAAGGAGAATAATGCAAATGGGATGAAAAGTTGCCACCTAAAAAAAAAAAAAAAAAAAAAAAAAAAAAAAAAAAAGTGAGTTGTGGGACCAGAGTTTTGCAACCATTGAGATTATAATTTTTCTCCCAAGTCTTCACATGTCTGACTGAAAGCATGGCCAGTCCCCGTCACCTTGCATTTGTCCCTTAGCCCATATACAGCCTTTTTACCTCTTAGTTCAGACCAGCCTGATTTTGCCAGTCAGGAGACAGAAACTGAACCCATTCATTGAGAAATTATTGTGCTTTCCCTCCATTCCCCACTGCCATTGAAACTGACCAGAGCCCGAACTTCACCCTGAAAGTGACCGGTGTGTGTGTATTTACTACACACAGGCACACCCAGCTTCTCCCTGCCCAAAGGCCGTGGCTGTTTCCAGCACAGATCAGGGCCAGCAACACCTTCACAAACCGACCTTTCTGGGACCTTCCCAGGATATTTTTTGGGATGAGCTTCAACACAGGGCACCTGGCACCTGAGCCCTGACAGGAGCCACGAAGGGTGGTTGCTGTGTCCTAGCTACAGCTCTGAATTCTTACTGTTTTTGAAACACTTTTTGGGGCCAGGGAGGCTGAGGGAAAAGGGATGGCTCAGGAAAAAGGGTCTCCTCAGTGAGGAGGGTTCCTGGAAAAGCAGGGTCTCCTCAGGGAGGAGGGTTCCTGGAAAGCAGGGTCTCCTCAGGGAAAAGAGTCTCCTCAGGGAGGACGGTTCCTGGAAAGCAGGGTCTCCTCAGTGAAAAGGGTTCCTGGAAAAGCAGGGTCTCCTCAGGGAGGACAGTTTCCTAAAGGAGAGTCTCTCCAGGGAAAACGGTCCCCTCAGGGTCGACAGTCCCCTCAAAATGGAGACTTTTCTCAGGGTGGAGGGTTCCCTCAAAAAAAAGGAGGGAAAACTCCGCTCAAAAATGAGGGTTTCCTCAGGGAAAAGCGTTTCCTCCGAGAGAAGGGTCCCGTCAAGGCCGAGGAGCCCCTGATGGAGGCGGGGTGGCCGCGCTCTCGCTGTGTGCGGAGCCCTCAGGCTGCCTCCCCACCGCCTCCACTGCGGGCTGCGGCACCGCCCGCCTGTCCCCTCCGGATCGCGGGGACAACACCGCTGCTCCTCGTTTTCCCTGCCTTCCTCCATCCCTTCCCTGCCTACCTCGCTCCGCCCGCTCCTCCTCGTGGCCGAGGGCCGGCCCCGCGCTCCGCCCCGGCCGTGCGGGCGGAGGTGCCGGATGGCGCCGGCCGGGCCTGTGCCGGTGTCACAGCGCGGGGGCCATCGGGGGCTACCGAGGGTTGGGCCCGGGCCGGTGTCACAGCCCGGGGCCCATCGGCGACTACCGAGGGCCGGGCTCGGGCCGGTGTCACAGCCCGGGGCCCATCGGGGCCGGCCCGCCCTGCCGGTAAGCGAGAGGCGGGCGGGAAGCTCGCCTCAACCTCTGCCTCAGCCTCAGCCCCAGCCTCAGCCTCTGCCCCGGGCTCGTCACCGGGATGGGGCGGGGAGCTGTTGCCCTCGGCTGCGGAGGGATGGGCAGGGCTGAGCTGAGCTGGGCACACCGGGAATAAACCCTTCAAGGACCCCCCCTTCTCCAGCGGTTTGCTGCTTAAATTAACAACGTGTCCTCGGTCTGTTTTTTAGGTTACGGTGGTTTCCATTCACCCCTCGGTGTTTACTGCGCGGTCGGCATCTTCCTCAGGCCAACAAGGCTTTAGGCCTGAAGGTGAAGCAGCCACAACCCGGCCTTTTGTCTACGGTAAACAAAGTTAACGACAGAAGTACTGCATAGGGCTCAACAGTGTGTCCTTCGGAGGTGGCTGAAGGGCTGCGTGATGGGTTCGTGTACAAAAGAAGAGTTGTCAGGAAGTACATGGAATTTGCAGAAAAAAACCCTGCAAAATGGTGTTTTTGTTCCATATCTGATATTTGTCATATTGCCACCCCAGGCTTCCCCAGGCAGGTGGGAAGGCTGTTGGCAGTGGCAGCCGTCACTGTGGTCACGGTGGAATTTGGGGTTTCAGGCGCTGTTAGGTCTGTGCTGTGCTGCTCCAAGGAGAAGGGCAGAGCACGTGGCCCAGGCAACACTAAAAATCAGTCTGTAATGCAGGTGACTCCTGGGACATTGAGAGAAATAGCTGTACCACTAAAAGTATAGAACAAACAAAGAAACCCCCAAACCAACCCCCCACCACCAGCTTTAATTCTGTGGGTACCAACTCCCAGTGATTGATTTATTTGTTTTGTATGAATCTTTAATGGGTCTTGAGTTGTGTTCCTAAACGTTTTTGTTCCTTTGTTTCAAATTATTTTTATAGTGTGTCCATGAAAAAGCCCACTCTTATGTGATTTTCAGAGACTTTGCAGTGATGATGTTTTAGTACCACATCATATTGGCAAATTTAGGTTCAGTCCATTAATGCACCAGAAAGATGCAGCATAATCAGTCATAGCTAATCCATTATCAGACTTTTCCCCTCACGTTAGGGATGTAATCCAGCTGTCAAACTCGCGGTCACTTTGTGTAAACTAATTTTGCTGTTAGATCATATTGGTTTTTCCATTTGATAGAGACTTGACTGAGGTTAGCATTGGTGGTCAGGGTGGTTTTAGCCAAGAGCTGTCAGACTGTCAGCTTTTAAAGCACAGTTACTGTTCACAGATGTTCTCCAGGTTCATTAAGCCTCGGTGAATACAGAGACTAAACAGTAGCTTTAATATTTTCCTGTAAGGCTGCTAATTTGCTCTTCTTGTAAAGCTTGCACTGGTATGTCAGTCTGTTTGATGTGTCTTTCATGGCCCTTGTGATGCCTTTCTGTGTTTAATGTTTCTTTTGATTTTTTTTTTCTCTTTGCTTCAGGTTGAAAAGATGGGGAATGCTGAAAGCAATGCCTATCAGAATCACCTTTCCAGGTTTCTTCCTGAGGAGCAGTCTGACATTGATGGACTGTTCGACACCTTATCAGGGTCCAGTGGCTCAGCTGGAGCAAAAAATGCCAAAGCTGCAAAGAAAACTGTGACTCTGGCAGCACTACAGGCAAGACAGTCTGTTACTCATCATATATCTGGGATGTAGTGCATTGAACAGAATTCCACAAATAACCTATAAAGATAGGGTATTTTTTAAGGATTGCTCATCTCAATTTAATTTTTTATATTTTGGGGCAGGATGGATATTTAACTTTTTCTTGCAGTTTAACCAGAGTAGTGACTTTCAGATTTGCATTTATCTCTTAAATTGCACTTTTGGGTCCATTTGCAGCTTTCCTGATTCTGAAGTAAGTTAGGGTGTATGGAAATATTTTCACAGAGACCTGAAAAATGGGAAGAATATTTTTACCTATGGAGTCTGTAGTGTGGGATCATTTACAGATTGTCTTGAGAAGCTGTCACAAAGTCAGTTTTTATTTGGTTATGCCTGTCTCCCTTGACATATCACTGTCTCTAATCTCTTCACTTGTACTAAAAGGAGAGAATTCAATTTGACTTGATTAAGCTGTGGCTCCCTGGTTTAGCTAATTAACATGCATTATGCTTCTGATTAACTTTGCATTCATTTTCTAATCAAGGAGAGAGAAAAATGAGTCATTTAGATCCTTAATAACTTCAGCTAGTCAGGAACTAAGTGGCCAAATGAATGTGGTGGTGAAGTGCAGTTTGATATATATTACACAGATAATGGAGTCAAATTAAAACTCATTGAAGGCAGCAGGTTATTTTGAGGTGTTCAGCAATGCCTGTGCATACAGACCAGCTTCAGCCTTCCTGCAGCCTGGCTGGCTGTGAGCTGTCACCAATTCTTGGAGCACCAAGTTTGGAAATGATGTTTCTGCTGCCTGGTTTTTCTGCAGGAACATCATTCCCAAACTAGCTCATCCAACGTCCTTGGTGCCTGTTAATTGTTTGGGACCTGGCAGAAGTTCTCTTTGTAGCTTTGCCCCAGATCAGTGTGATCTTTAATGAACATTTGCCTTTTCCCTTCCTGCTTTTTTGTTTGCCAGCTTAAATTAAAATCTTTTGGAAGACTTCCTGTAGGTGCAGGGAGAATGGCAATGGCATTTCTGCCTTGTAGGTGACAATGCTCATGCCTGGGCTGAGATGTGACAGATTTGATCCAAAACAATCTGGTACCACTGGTGAGGCTCCAAGCCAGGGCCCAGGACAGACTGCCCTGCATAGCTGGGGAAGCAGGTGGAGCAGGAATCCCTTGATAATTTCATGAAGCCTTTTTAAAACAAGGGTTCTGAGCTCTCAGAGGTGTGAGTTAGATGATTATTAAGGATTCCTTTTTTACACACCTCTTTTTTTCGCACCCCAGGTCCACTCTTTGGAATAGCTAGAAGCAAAATGAAACAGCTCAGTGGAGTGGTGGGATTAGGTAGGGAGTAGGTAGGTAAATCAGCAGTGTGAAGTAAAAAACCCTTGAGTTTAATGTTTTAGTTGTGTTCCCTGCTGCCTCTCCCACTTGAGGCTCATGCAGGATTTTTAGAAAGCCTCTCAAAGACAGCTGTACCCCCTGTGAGCATCCCTCCCTCTCTGTGGAGCACTCTGATGTGAAAAGCTGTGGCTGCTATTCCTGCTGCTGCTGGAATCAATGGGAGTTGTAGCACTGACGTCAGTGCCAGCAGCACAGAGCTCAGGGTGTTGGATCTCTCATGCCCAGCAACAGCCATTCACAGCAAATAGGAGCAGCCCAGGCTTCCCAAGAGTGGTATTGAGCCAGCAATCAGCAATAGCAGCTCCCCTGAGTGGAGCCAGGAATCAGCAATAGCAGCTCCCCTCAGTGGAGCTGCAGTTGGGCTTTTAGGCAAGCGGGGCTCCACTGATTTCAGCACAGTCCCCACTGAGGTACAGCCCGTGTGGAAGAGTCAAGCCAGGTCTTCAGCACACCTCTGTGCACAGTGAGGGCACTGGGTAATCACCTCCTCCTCCTCTGTGCATACGAGATGATTTATTTTTAAGCTGTGTAATTAACTTGAACACTCTGAAAGTTGAATCCAGAGTCAGATCTTTCCCACAGTGCTGTGATGAATGATGATATATTCCAGCTAGATTTCAATTCAAAGGCCCAAGCATGCAATCCAGATGAATAAGTGCTGATTTTGACTCTCTTAACACCAGGGATGCTTTTTAAAAATCAGGTGATCTGTGCTTCAGTTAGTTGCCATGCAGGGGGAAATTTTCCAGGATTGTTTCTACATGTGTATCTGGGGTTAAACACTGCCTTGATGCCAACACTGAGATATGGAAAACACTCCACTTTGCTTTTAAGTGAGCTGCACTGTCGAAAGCAGAATTAAAACACAAATTTTGAATGTTATACTGGCAGAGCTGTAAACCTTTGCACCAGAGTTATCACCTAGAAACCCTTTGCTAATATCCTATTAAGACTTTAATGTTGATTTTTCTGAAGCCCGTGGTGTTTCTAGAAAACAGTATCAACCTAATTCACTACAAAAATCACTATAAAAATAGAGATTTTTTAGTTTTTCTCTTGGCAAAGCAGTTCTTTGACAAAATTTTATTGCTGATACTACATACTGTATGTCAGCACAGATTAACTGGAACACATCAGTTATTCTTCCTTTGTAAAAGGTGCTCTTTGCTGTTTCTCTCACTGCAGGCACACACCCGGGAGCCCCTGCCAGAGGCAATGACTGCTCGGTTGTACAATGGAATGAAAAGCATTGACCTGCCTGGCAAATCAGCCGGGCTCAGTGAACAGATTGCTAAGGAGCAGTTTGTAATTTTTATGTCAAACCTCTTAAAAGGGAATGCAGATGAGAAGATTAGCATAATAATGAGAATGATCGCCAAGACGGGAGGGCCTCTGAAGGGCAAACAGATCCAAGAGGTAAACAAGAGTTAAATGTGTGTTGGGGGGACAGTAAGAGAGCAGGGCTGTGGTTAAGAGCCAGCAAGGGCTGTGGTGTGGCTGGTGCTTCTGGGAACTGAGCAAAATGCTTTCTAGAGCTTTAGTTGCAGGATCAACTGTGTAGCTTTTGAGATCTCACAGAACAGTAATTCACTAGCAGCTCCTACACTGCAAAACTTGACCTTCCCCTCCCTTTTTCATTCCCTATTTTATGGAGGTGCTTTGTGAAGTAACATGTATGAAATGTCTTGAAAAAGGATCCTTTTCAAGGCCTGTGACACTGAAATAGCATTTCTGTAGTGCCTGACTTGTCATGGCTAGAGATGATTCTGCCTTTGGGATTACAGCATCACTACTGCTTGAACATTTCTGTAGTGCCTGACTTGTCATGGCAAGAGATGATTTTGTATCACTACTGCTTGAATTTATCTTCAGACAGTCCTTTGAAGCTCTTGGAAATTTCACTTAAGAAATACCAAAATGGTGATGTTTTAATCTTTTAAGTTCACAGAAGATCTGATCACATCTGTAGTCCATGTACTGAGCTACAGGAAGGAGCTGAAAGGTTGGAGTTTGGAGAATACGAGGGATTCTTCAGGTGGAGTCAAAGCTTTGGCCTCTGAGCTGCTCTCGGAATTGAAGCTTCCAGGTAAGCAGCCCTGATTCAGCTTATCCCAGAGCTTGTGTAATCAGTGATCTCATGAGAATTTCTCTCTTTAGGTCACATCTCTGAATTTTAAGGGTGAGACCAAAATTTCAAACCTAGTGCTTAGAAAATGACATTGGAATTTTATTTGTTTAACCTTACCATCTTTCTCCTCTAAGTTCAGCTGAGACTTGATCTGAAGTCCTAGTTTGTCATGGAACATGTCTATTTTACAAATACCTGACTTGAAAATTATAGGAATGGGCATCTAAATAATAATTATTTAAATAAAACTTATCATGTATTTTTGGCTATGTCCTTTTATAAAGCATTGGTCTGTCTTTGCACTGTTGTAATGACATATTTTGCTGTCTTGTAAAGAACCCTTCATGAGTTGTAGCTCTGAGTCTGTATTTCTAAATCATGACAGCCCAGCCAAAGAATGTCACTGGTAGAGGTTTCTCAGTTCTATGGTTGCATTTGTCTAATGCAGTTGACACTTTACTGTTCCTGGCTCCTTTAATATGTGGTTTTCTGTCCATTACAATAATGGACTATTATTTTTACACTAAAAAATCATCACCTGATGATTATTTTCCAGACAGGGAGACTTACTCCTCTCCCTGTGTGTCTTCTTCAGATGGGACAAAACCTGTGGGTTCTCAGCTGCTGGAGGCAAATTTTGACCAAAGTGTCATTGAGGATTGGGTGTACCGAGTTCCCCAGATCTCAGTTTTCCTCAGTGTTGTCATCAGGCAAGGCCTCCACGTCCTGCATTCGCTCCCAGACCAAACCAACGACATCCTCAACCTGGTTCCTCACTGCAAAGGCATCAAAGGAAGAGGAGTTGTCAGTCTCTTTGACATCCCAGCCATCATCTACATCAACTCCCACCTGCCTGCAGAGATGCAGCACAAGTGGCAGCTTTTATTTTCCTCCAGGCTCCACGGGGAAAGCTTCTCACAGCTGTGTGCCCATATAGTGAACAAAGGTCCTTGCATAGTGATCATAAGGGACTTGGATGGTTTCCTCTTTGGTGGGTTTGCATCTCACTCCTGGGAGGTGAAGCCACAGTTTCAAGGTAAAACTCATTTTGCTTTCTTTAGTATCTCTGATAAATTCCCTGGTTTTTGTACAGGCACAAGAATACTGTCCCCTTAATGGATACTGTCCCTTTAATGACACAAAGTGTTTCTTACACTTCCAAATGAATTTCTCTGTGGCAAAAATAGCACTAATTTTCAAAGAATATAAAACACATACAGAGTTAGAATGGCAGTCAGGCGTGTTGCTGATTAATATTTATAGTTTGTTATTTGATAAGGCTTTTAAAATTGCAGGACTTACTGACCACAGAACAAATTTTCAGGGAAATCTACCAAGCCCTGTAGCTGCTTAGGTTGAAAATCAAATGAAAATGAATGAAGTGGAGCACAGATGATGAATTAGTGTCTGAATAATTTGACCACAGGATGGCAGTCCTCCATCAGGAACACCTGAGCCTGCTCTTTCCATTTATGCACTGTCTTTGTTCCCCTTGTAAAATCCAGCAGTCAGAGGATTCTTTGGGCAAGCTAAACTTCTTGTTCCCATAAAACTTTGAGGGAGAAGAAAGGGTTTTTGGAGAACTCTTTGACAAGAATGTTTGTGATGGATTTGTGAAGAAAAAACCATGGGCTATGGGTATTTGGTGTTGCTGGGAATCCTCACTCTGGCTACATAAGAAACTCAGTTCATGTCCTAAATGAGTATTTGAAAACTGACTTCAGACAGTTGGTATAATATTATTTTACACTGATTACACATCCCTTTCCTTGTATTATTTTTTCCTAATAGAGAAACATACAAAGACTCCAGGGGAAGCACACCACAGGTGCCTCTGAATCCTGAACTGGGCATGGTGAAAATTGCTCTAAATCATCAACTCTAAACTGATTTATCTATCAGTGTAGTCAGAACTTGGGATGTCTGCATTCACTCCAGTTTGTACAGATCTGTGAGTTGGCCAGTTTTAGGTGATATAATGCAGTCTGGGGTAGGTGACATAGTGACATAATGTCCTAGTGGTGCCTCTGACTCTGCCCTTGATCACAGCCTGTAATTGCATTGATTTTTGTGGCTGCACAGAGTTCACTGAGAACAAAAAATAGATCTAAATCTTGATGGGGGATCTACTGGCTTTCTGAGATGGCAACTGCTGTCTTTGAATTATTCAGCTTAAATTATTTTTTCTAATTTATATGTAGGAAAGTTATTGCATGACCTCTTGTCTGACCTGAGGTGCTTCTCTGTTTGCAGGTGACAACAGATGCTTTCTGTTTTCTGTTTTCCCCACTCTGGCTGTATACACATACACAGGGTACAATGACCACTACATGTATTTAAACCATGGCCAACAGACTATGCCAAATGGACTTGTAAGTATTCAGAAACGATGATTTGGAAATTGGATTTGTGGCTGGTGTTTGGAAGTGTTTTGTGGTTTTTTTTCATTCTGAGAGCAGATTTATTTCACTTGTTATTCTCTGAGGAAATTTGCATGCCTGTAGCAGCACAAAACAGCAATCTGTGTAACTGAGGATTCTTCCACTGGCTGCTCTCCCTGCCACAGCAACTGCTTTTGGAATTATGGAGGAGAAAGCCCAGCAGGATGAGAGTGCAGACATTGCAAGTAGCTGCTGCTGCTGTGTGATGACAGTGGCAGGAGCTACTCCTACTCAAGTTCACAAATGAGCTCTCCAGATGCAGAGGAGTTTCTACAGAGCTACAGCACACCACCTGTCCTGGAAATAGTTTACAGTTTTGGAGCATTATGTGCCCATAACTTTGGGAATTGGAGCAGGCTGGAATTAATTTGCCCTAGAAAATGTGAACAACATCAAATTACATTATTGGTTTCTGTAGATACTTTCCTGATGGAAAGGAGGCAGCAAACCCGAGCACTGTTTGAAATGGAACTGTTAATAGTCAATAAACAAAAGCCAGGAGATTAATTTCTGGCACAAGTCATAGATATTTGTATTCTGTGAAGCACAGAGGCAGGGCAGTATCACTCAGGTGCATTTTCAGTTGCATTCAGGAACAGTAGATGTGGGTGTCCCCTTTTATCACCTACCCACAGAAGTGTGCCATAAATACTGACCACAGCAGCTTACTCTCAGGTTTCCTGACTTTGCCAGTCCCTTTTTCCTGTGCAGGATGTGTTTAATGTGCTGATGTTCTCCACAGGGTATGGGTGGACAGCATGGCTACTTTGGGCTCTGGATAGACAGTGACTATGGCAAGGGCCACAGCAAAGCCAAACCTCGCTGCACCACCTACAACAGCCCCCAGCTGTCAGCCAAAGAGGATTTTACACTGGATGCCATGGAAGTTTGGGCAGTGGGAGATGCCCCTGAGAGTGCAGGGGTAGGTGAAATTGTGAATTGAACCTGTGAAAATGTGTTCTGGTTGGAACAGAAGATGTGAATGCAAAGCTCACAGTTGCAGTTGTGTGTTTCAACACTCTCTCCACTCTAGTGAATAACATGTTCTTTACCTGGCCCTGTGGTGCATTGTGTTTTGTAGTACCAAATAGCACAACTGAAGTGGAGTTATTGAGGTTGCCAACAAGAAAGAATATCAGGAGCCATGAGGTGATAGAGTCAGAATAGCAGTACTTTGAGTTTCAAAAGGCCTTTTTGATATTGAGGAATGGACTCTGGAAGGAACCTCCTTGGAGGGGCTCAGTAAAACCCAGAGTTTCTAAAAGCACTGGAAACTCTCAAGTAAAGTCTATACTGTAGTTCAAGAAGAGACCCAAAAGCTTTCTTTATCAGTAACTTTAAATTTATTATTGCTTTACCATAAACTTCTGTGAATAGATTTATGCCAGTCTTTCTGCGCTTCATTTATTTTTTGGGAATGAGTAGGAGCCCTCTCTCCAGTCTCCTCTATCCCTGCAATTTATTCTCTTTATAAACTGTCTGGTCTGTACAGTTTGATGGGGTTTTAAATTTATTTCTTTTTAATTTTTACTTCTTTTCAAACTAATTCATGTACCCTGATTCCACTGGGCATGTAGCTCTAAGGAGAAACAGAGCAAACTGTTTACAGAAAATATTGAATTGTAACTGGATCTCTTTAAAAACCTCACATCAGCACTTCAGACTGGGGTGGGGTTAACCAGGATGTCCTGGATGGCTTGTAACCTGAATAAACTTGATATATCTCACTGTCATCTTAGGAAAAGTTTATGGCTATTTTATGTTGCTGCAGCAGTAAAAATAATTTGATGTATTTGTGAAATTTGAAATTGGAAATACATCTTCTCCATTGTGCCAAGCTAGCAGATTTCATCACTTACAGGCTTTTGAGGGTGTCTCTTCCCTGTAGCCTGATACTGACCCTTTAAATTGACTGTATTTTATTTTGTTTTGAAGAGAAAAGGTAAGAAGAGCATCCTGGATGTGGATCCTCAGGCTCAGGCCTTGCTGGAAATGGCTGGGAAAAGCCGTCAGAGCGAGGGTCTGCGGGAGCCCATGGAGGAGGATGAAGGTGATGATGATGAGAGCTAAAGGAGCCACAGTAACTTGTAAAAACTTCACTTTTATTTGCTTCAAGTGGTGGTGATATTCCTTGGACAAGATACTTTTTCCTTTTTTTTTCTCCTTGAATGTAGCTAATTGTCTGGGACAAAGCATAAGCCTTGTACTTGTGTAATATTTAGGTCTAAAGCACTAATCTGCCTGAAGGGCTTTGTTTGGGGAGGACAGAAAAATTAACTGGGGACATAATCATTAGGCATGGCTGAGCTCCAGCTGAATATGAATCTGCTTTCATTCCCCATAGATCATGTCTGCACACTGAATTAAAAGCATCAGAAGTTATTGACAGTATGGCTTTCTGTCCTGGAGAATTGATATGTACATAGTTATATATTTATAAAACCTGTTGGAGGCACTGATTAAAGCTCTTATACCTCAGCTGCACGTATTTATTTGCATGCAGTGAAGTTAGTCAGCAAAGCTTACAAACTGCAACAATATCTTACTCTGGTGAACATAGAGTAGTCCACATGATGCCACATGAAGGATGCTGTAAATTTGCATTGCTTCAGTTAAAGCATTAAATTTCGAGCTTTCTAAGTCAGGTTTTCAGCAGACGGTTCCATGTGAGCTGTAGGACTTTCCACAACAAGTTTTATAGTACTACACTACCCCTAGTGCATCTCACTTCATCTATTCCTGCAGAAACTTGTCTGTTGCTTTTTAAACTTAGACCAGAATCATTGGAGCCATATTTATGCTAAAAATACCTCCAGCAGAATTCTCGAGAGAAGGTACATTCTTTACTAGCCTCGTGACACTGGAGTAAAAGATCAGGCTGCAAAAAAGGTTGAGTAAGAAGCAGCCACACTTAATTGAGAATAGGATCTGCAGATACCTTGTGAAAGAAACAAAAATCTGGGTTATGTCTGTGAAATGTTTAAAGAAGCTTGCTGTACACTTTATTTCCACATAATGAATCATTATTGTGGAAAAGAATCCCCACAATGTGAAGTGCAGTTGTTGGGGGTTGTGCTCTGTTTTGTGACTCTTCACCAGTCAGCAGCAGTTTTGTCAGGTCTCTTATACTCAGGATTTTTTCTACTTGAATTGGTTCCCATCACTCAGTAATTATTCGTTTGACCTTGCTAATTCTATGTGTAATTAACTTGTCAAAAACAACCCTGATTTTTACCAGGGGCTGCAGTTTCTAACTCAGCAAGAAGTGTTTGGTTATCAGTGTCTCTGACTGTCACTCTTCCTCCTCCTGAGGAACAGGACTGTGTCCAATCCCCTTTGTCCTGGCATGAGTTTGTCTTTGCAGCTTAGAGAAAAACAATAGAATTCTATAATTTTTGCTCATGTGGCCTTCCTTAAAATTCTTTCCCTTGGTGTTTTCTTGTATGAGATTTTTCCCCCCACCTGTTGTTTTTCATAGAGAGCCAGATTGGAATATTCTGAACAATCTGCACTTGTGCCTTAACATAGATCTCATTTGTAAAAATTGTATTGAACAACATGAATTTCAGAACAATCTGCACTTGTGCCTTAACATAGATCTCATTTGTAAAAATTGTATTAAACAATGAAATATGAATTTCGTCTTGAAAGGAGAGCATGAACAAATCACTCCAGCCAGGTATCCTAGGACTCAGCTGTGTGTTTTGTGGAGTACCTGAACTAATGCTTGGGGCATTTATATGCTGTTTGTTCCAGTTCAGAGAGTGCTGTGAAAGGCCTGGGAGAATGTCCTTTTTTCCTGTATTTGCTTAGAGAAACCAAATAGTCTCCCAAGTTTGTAACACACAGAAAAAAATAAGCATCAGAACAATTGCACTGATACTTTTGTATAGTTTTCTTCTCGATATGTATTAATAATATTAAGTTTTACAATGTAAGGAGTAGTAAGTACATGATGCTGTCTGTAAGTGTGGTGATAGCAGCTTTTGTTTGAGCATTCTCAAACTCCCACCATGAGTCTCAGAGGTCTTTTTCACTTAGCAGTGACTAAGCCTATTGAACACTCCCATGTAGATGGCATACAGGATGAGACAGTTGAATTTCTGCAGTTAAAATAAGCAGCTAGACTTTATTTTCCTTCCATTACAAGCTTGTTTTTGAGAACTGAAACCATCTGCAAGGGTATAGAAAAAACCCTGAATTGTACAAAGCTACTCTCCACCAAAAATATTTCAGTGGCCAAGTTTTCTTTGATTTTTAATGAGTATCAATATAGCTGTTTCTTTCTAGTCTATGAATCCAAAATGTACTCCTGTTTAAACTTCATTTTGTGACTATCAGCATAGCATTGTGACCTCTGAAGTTGTAGTTTTTTGACAAGTTTGTGTCTGAGACTCTTCCTCTTCACTTTGAAGGTGTTAAGCTGGGGCAAGAAGAAAACTGACACTGACACTTCAGCAAATGTCTCAGTGAAGTATTATCTACTAGGACACCACTGATCCAACCATCAGATGGGATTATTCCAAATTGTTCTTTAAATGTAAAAGATGGGCTTGGGAAAGACTCAATTTTTATTTTAACCTGAAACTAATGATTAAGAAATCTGGGCTCATGCACCTAAAAATGTCCAGAAAGCTTTTGTCAGCAGTAGGCTTAGCTATGATCTGAACAGCTCAGTCTCTTTAGTGCAGTTTTGGCCCAGCTGCAAAGCCCAACATCCCTGATCTGTTCCTGACTCATCTTTATTCTCAGGCTCTTTGGAAGTGAGTCCCTTTCCCATTAAATCCATCCTCTGCTGAGCACTGGGTCTGATCAGCCTTCCCTTCTTCTCCTGTCAGTCACACGGGTACCAAAACTGACAGCTGAGGGTTGGCACTTCAGCTCCCTGCTCTGTTTGACAGCTCCCCAGAGTTTCCTAGAAAGTCTTGCTGAGTCAAGCCTGGGTATCTGGGAATCCACAAACACTACAGATTGAAGGAAAAGAAATACTTCAAGGCAGGTCGTTTCCACTCTTCTAGAGAAACATTAAAGGATGTGTCTAAATCACGAGTCTCACTCAGATACTTGTCAGTAACATTTTAAAATGTAGATTTTATTAATAAAAATGATTTTGATTTAAATAAATAAAATTTCAGTTTATGCACAATAGATTTTTCTGTACAGGTGTGAAAGTCTTCATTTGTCTGGGAGTAGCTCAGCCTTCTGGAATACAGATCAGTGTTATAAAAATATACCTGCTTTTGGTGTAAAAAAGGAGCCACTCTGGAGGTTTCTGCAGACAGCTCAAGTGGAGTGGGTAGAAGAGTCTCTGGTGTAAAGACTGTTGGTACAGCTGGACTTGAGTACCTTCAGGAAGGATGTGTGGGTCACAAAGCATGGATTTGGATTATCACAGCTCTGTTCCAGGTGTATTTTAGAGCAGTCTCAGTCAGTTGTGACGTCCCTTGGTGTGCTTTGGGGGGCAGCAGCGCTTTTCACAGAGTTTGACGAGCTCGGACACCACGAACACTGAGGAAGCCAGGCCGGTGAGGAACAGCAGGTCTGGGAGAGGAGAGAGTGGAGGTGAGCTCAGCTGGGCAGGAATCCCAGCCCAGGGCCTTCCTGCAGCTGGGAGTTGGGCTGGTGAGCCCTTGGGTACGTGTGCCCTCGCTGTGCCTTGCCAGCTGAGAGTTAGGGACACCACTGCAGCAGACACGGGCCAGCCACAGCTGGGATGGTCCCCTTGGAGGGTGGAAACAGGAATAATTTGGGATCCCTGCCCCCTGCTTATGACACAGCCTAATGTCGATGGAAAATGGTGTGGTAGAGTGCAATTTGCTGATTTAAATGAAAATCCGTGCTCCATTTCAGCTGGGAAAGTGAAGTTTAACTCAGCTCTTTCCAAAGGGAGTGTCTGCATAGAGATCTGAGAAATATCATCATACAGAGCTGGAAAATCTTGGCATGTCTCCATTTACGTGCAGTAAATCAAAATTCATAATGTAAGGTGGGATAATATGAAATACTTGTACTATTGGGGTACAGCTCTGTGTAAATACACAGAGATTGGAGCTGTTGGTTGATTTCCTCTACCAGTGATGTGTGGGGAGCCAGCAGCAAACCGGGAATGGCATCAGCTTTCTAAAGTCACTTTAAGGAAAAGAAAACAAAACAAACCATTATTTATTCTGCAGCTTACCTAACACTCCTAAATTCTCTGTCTGGAAGATCTTTTGTAGTGGAGGGATGTAGATAACTGCCAGCTGTCCCAAAAATGACCCAAGCACGGAATACAAGAACATGCGGTTTCGGAAAAAGCCGATTTCAAATATCAACTTTGTCTAGAAAAGGGAAAAAAAAATCAAAAAGTAGCTTTTCCCAATCTCTGTTGGAGCTAAATGACACCTGTTCCTTTACATTTCATCTCCATTGCTTTTTAAGTTACATAAACGCTAACTTAGAGCTACGTAATTGAATGTGTATTTGCACTTGTGATGGATAATTTTATCTGTATAAAAAGTTGATAAAAATCATACTACTTTAAATAACATTAAAAAATCCCTTACTATGCAAAATGCTGGTGTTCTGATGTTTATGTTTGTGATTTGAGACAAGAAATTACTGCTGACAGAGCCATCTCACCTGAGAGCGACATGTCAGGGCGTTGAAGAGGTCAAAAAACACAAAACAGGTGAAAGTCATTGTTGTGGTTCGAGGAGTTATGCCCCCTTTTGGATTCTGGAAGCACACAAAAATTCAGGGGTTAGTTTAACCTTATAAAAATATACCAATTCAATAGAAGAATTAAATGTTCCCTTTAATGTGCTCAGTCAAATCAAAGGGTAATAAAGGAGTAAATCTAGTTCTAGCTATTAGAGGTAGCATTCAGTTCTCTCTGCTAATTTTAAAGTTTATGACCTTATCAACTGTATTCTAAATTCTTAAACTGATGTGGACTTTGAATGAAGAACATCCTAAATTAAATTACTGAAACCTCAAGTACCAACAGCAGTCCGTTGTACTTTTCTGCTGGGAAAATGGAAAGCTAGAGGTGAAAAGTCCCTTAAAGTATTGATGCCACATCATGTAATAGGTTTTCCATTCTGGATGGGAAGGACCAAATTAGAGGTAACAGAGGGAGGCAGGAGCAGAGCTGGGAGCTGACCCTGCTTTCTCAACCCTCTGCTCACGCTGAGCCTTCTCCATGGGATGGATTCCAGAAAGTCCTCACGTCCTTCAGAAACTGCCCTCACTTTGTGCTCCACCCACCCTGATGGAAACAAGATCCGAGTGCAGATTTCCCTCACCTCCTTCCAGAAGACAAAGAGGGTTCCACTGATGATGATGATTGCTGACATGAAGATTTTCAGGATCAGGGATTTGCTGAGGATGGTGTCTGTGATGCACCGGGGGGGCTGCTTGATGGTGTCCCTGTCAACAGGTTCGACCCCCAAGCTGCCTCCAAGAGAAGCAGAGGGATGTGTTAATTAATGCAGGGT